TTCTTATAGACATAATGTATAGTTGGGACATATTTTTAAATCCACTCTGACATTCTCTGCCTTTTAATTGGTACATTTAGACCATTTACATTTAAAGTGATTGTTGATATAGTTGATTAATATCTGTCACTTTTGTAACTTTGCTCATCTGCCTTCTGTGTTGTTGGGTTTTTTTAAATATGTTTTTATTGATTTCAGAGAGGCAGGGAGAGTGAGAGGAAAACATCGATTGGCTGCCTTCTGTACAACCCACTGGGGTTGGGCTCCGGCAACCTGGACATGTGCCCTCACAGGGAATCAAACCCCGAAACCCTCCGATGCATGGATAGACACTTGATCAACTGAGCCACACTGGCCAAGGCTTGTGCCTTCTCTGGTTTTAACAGAGCATCCTAAATAATAAAAGTCTAATATGCAAATGGACCGAACATCAGAACGACCAGTCGGTGGGGGGCGGGGCCAGCAAGCTGGCAGTGCCAGGCCAGCCAAGGCATGTGCCAGCTGCCAGAGGGAGGGAATGGCGATGGGGGGGGGTAATCAACCAGTGGTGGCAGAGGGGCGATGGGGTGGGGGGTAGCACCATCCCCTTATCTGCCCATCCTTTTCCTCCCGCAGAGGGAGGCCGGGTGGCAACAGCAGGGTGATAGGGCAGCAGTCCCCTGACTCCCTGTCCTCGCCTTCCACAGACGGAGGCCAGACTGCTGTCAGTAGGACATCCCCTGAGGACTCCCAGACTGAGAAGGTGCAGGCCAGGCTGAGAAATTGGAAATCATAGCTAAGGGAAGTGTTCTTTAAGGGAGGCACTTAAAGAACATTGCTTTTGGTTCTGGAATATGCTTTTGTCTATGGAGAGAGAGGATAAAGCACACTGAAAAGATACTTGGAGAAACTGTTCAATTCAGGGCCAGTAAAGGTATTGGATGAGTTCGCACATGTGGTAAGGGTGAGGGGATGTTGGGGATATAAATGAGATGGCTAATCTTGTAATATCTCAAAGATGAGGCTAAAATTAGATAATGACTTCTTGAAGGCAAAAAATCATGCTTTAGCAGGTAGAAATTTTAAATTCTAATTCAGGGCTGTATCTGTGGTTCTTTTCCAGTGTATATGTTAGATTGCTGGGTTATATGTCCAGATCATTGGGAGCCTCTCTAAATTTTTGCCTTTATTCTTAAAAAGTTCAAGAAGTTTTGCCTTTACTCTTCATAGTATAAGGAAAATATAGAATTTTTCCTCAGAAAGTTTAAGGAAAATTAAAAAAACCTGAGCAATTACTTATTTTTTTGGTGAAAGTATAAGATTTCCCTTAACCTTTTTTTTTTTTCTTGTGAAATTAAGGAGTTGCTTAGAAAAAATTTTACTTATGCTACTCAAAGACTGCTAGTTAATTAACAAATACGTTTTAAAAATTTAATCTATTTACTTGTTTTATACCTTTCTATAATTGAAGTAGTGGTAAACTGTTTAAAGGATTTGGGGTGGGGATAGTTAGTGTCTGGGGTTTTCAAGCTTTAACACGAGAGATTAGAAAAGAGATGCTGCCTGGGCTCATTGCTGTTTTACCTCATTGCTGTTTAAATAACCCCCTGTTGGCAGTGCAAATATTTTCTCCTGTGAAACAAAATAGAGTTCTTATACACAGTAATCTTTATAAATATTTTGAAAACCCCCAAAACATTATCCCAAAATAATCATTCTATTTGTCCTTATTATATTTTGCATATCTCTTCTATATTGCCTTAGAAACCTCTTATTGGGCATTCAACTAAGAAATAAACTTTCCCTTAATTTTTTATCATTTTGTAAGTCTCTAAAACATAGTACTACCATAAAAATCTATGCCGTTTCCTTTCTTACTTGCTTAAATACTTAATAAAAATGTAAATGAAAGAATTGTTTCATGATCAAGCTGAAGGAAGAAAAGAAATTTAAAAATTATTAAACACAACTAATGTGCTTGACACTTTATAGAAATGATGTTATTTTATGTATGCATTACACAAAGGTTGTGACAAAAGATTTTACAGATGAGAGAAATCCAAGATTCAAGGGTTGAGAGAGAGCCTTTCCCCTGAATTTACTGATCTTATGTGGGCATGTATCTGCTGCTTTGACTGAGAAGTCTTTCACTCCTGAAGAGTATTTAAAACATGGTAGTTCTTGGTCTGAATATTCTATAAAATATATAATAAAAAAAATATATAAAATATGCAAACTGACCAAATGGCAGAATGACCGGCTGGCAGGGGACGGAGCCAGCCAGCATGCAGCACCAGGCCATCCAAGGCATGTGCCAGCAGGCAGAGGGAGGGGACAGTGATGTGGGGGTTGGCAGTACCCAGCAGCAGCAGCAGCAGCAGCAGCAGGGCAATGGTGGGTGGGGCCGGCAGCTTGCCAGTTGGTGCCATCCCCTGATGGGCCTGCCCTGTTGCCTCCTGCAGAGGGAGGTCAGACTGTGACAGGGCACAGGCCAGGCTGAAGTGCATGAATTTTCATGCACCGAGCCTCTAGTACTTTAAATATAAACATTGAAGTGCAGACAAAGCAATGATTCAGCAAGCTAGTGTGCTTAAATGTTTCTTGGTAAATTAGGAGAAAGGGAGGAATCTTTTTTCTGTCCCTGAGATTAACTGAGTAATTGAGAAATACCTGTAAACCTATTTAACTAATTGATACCTATCCTTTTATACCTGATGAATATTAAAAACGATGGAGCAATAGCTCAATTACATTTAGTCAATGTTTGTCAATATGTGATCATGTGTTTTTTGTGGTTTTTTTTTTTATGGGACGAAAGCTGATTATTTTAGTGCATATTCTGAAAAAGCAAAAAGATTTCTTTCACATTCCAATTGCTACTTGGTACTAAATAATAAATATACTAGAGTCACAGTTCCCAAGAGTCCCTAAGTGTAATTTACACAGTTCCTAAGTGTAATTTAAAGTTAGCACATAAACATGAGTAGACTGGTTAAGGCACTTGACCAGAAGGTAAAGGTGTGGGTTTTCATACAATTCCCTTTCATTGTAAAATTTTGAGCAAGTTGTTCTTGTCTTTGGCTTCCCTTAAAGGTAGAATAATCCTGTCTTCTGTACACTTGCTTAAGTTGGAATGAAGAACAAAGGAGATGGTGTGAAAGTGCTATGAAGCTCTCTACATATAGAGTGATCCTTGATTTTTTCTTCTTTTTTTTAATGATACAGACTCCTTTGGAAGCTGTGGATCTCTTAGAAAACATTTTTAAAGAATAGGATATCATGAATTCCCTAATCCCTAACCACAGACTCTATATTATGAACTGTGGCTTTAGGCTAAGGAAAAAGAGCAGAGCTATGCATAATGTAAAATGTTAACTAATTTACAAACGTGTAATTCACTTCAAATTATGTTTTTGTTCTGGGGATTTTTAGGACTGCACTCACCAGCACATAGTAGGCTATTTGAATATATTTTGAAATCTTTTTATTTATATTTGGAGGACTTGCTTGTTTTCCAAGAACAGCCTTGAACTGGACTAACTTGTTTGTCATTTTGTAATTCAGAGCTGTCTCCTGGTGTTTGCCTTTATGTCTAAGCATTCTTCCCTGAGATTGGACCTCTTAGAAAGTGTATTAACTGCTCTTTGCACAGTGGTGGCTCAGCATAGACAAGCCATTGGCAGAACTCTAAGCAGAGTGTGTCTTTTTGCTCCTCACCTGTGATGAGTCACATCTTGGCCTCCTGTTGCAGTCAGCTGTAGTGCATAAGCTTATGCTGGTAGCCCAATATAGTCACTCAAAATTCTCAAGGACACATGTTTAAGATACTAGTTCTTCTTATAGTTTAAAAAATCAGTAGTCAGATGTTTAGTAAAAAAGTTCTAGCCTTGTAGCAGTCTTTCATTTTTTTTAAAGAAATGACATACTGGCTTATGTGGTTATGTAGCAAGATTTAAAATGAATCTTCAGATTATTCCCGCTTTTCCACAGATGAAAAGCAAATTGCTTTTCTTCCAGATTCTGTGTATCCAGAATATCTTCCCACCTTTCCTGAATCCTTTTGTGAGATATCCTGTTTTTGTGTCTGAAATAAGCTAAATGCTGGCACAGTGAGTGGTGGTTGAAAAGGGCTAATGGTGCTTTCTGAAAACTTAGTGTTATTGATTCTGGTATATATTCTACCCGAGTGGTCAGTTTATTTATTTCTTAACTGCAGCTCTAGCCAGGGATACATTTTATATTATGATGCAGTACACACAAAAACCCTCTTACCTAAAAAGTAGTTAATTATTATAAGTAATAATTACCCTTACTATATGTACTCAAATATCTTTTATTTCATTTCAAAAATACTCATTATGACCTACAAAATGAATTAACATATCCTACCAAAGGGTTTCAAGCCAGTTTGAAAAAGTGGTCTTCAGTTATATAATTTTCAGTCATGTGATTTGTAGAATATATTGGGATATCATTTTAGTTAAGTTTTATATATTTTCAAACTATAACATAATCTCTTTAGCAGGTACCTAAGTATAATCCTTTATTTAGAAAAAAATATATATAAATTAAAACTAGAAAAACTATGTTTTGTTTTTTTGTGTGGATGGAGTTCTTTGTTTGGATGCTTTGAGATAAGGGTGAACTTTCTGTTCTTTCATTTTTTTTTACATGTATTTAGCTATTCAGCAACAAATTAATAGTAAGATTTGTGATCCCGTTTTTTGTTGAACTTGATATGATTAACTGGAAACATTCGCCTAGTTAATGTTTTACATTTAATGGTTTAATTTTATATAAATTGGGTCAAAGCTAGTAAGATAGTTGAATGCCATAATTGTAATTTGTCATTTAGAAAGATGTATCAGAATTATCTTTGCCTTTCTATTTTTTCTTTTTAAAGAAGTAGAAAAAGTATCTTCGGAATTTTCTACTTTTCAGACTTTTTAGGAGCTCTGTAGGAATGCTTGACCTATCAGACAGTGGCATTTTGACTATTTCTGGTGAACATCTTTCTGCAGGATTACAAGTGTTGATCACCAGCCCGCCAAGATGAACATGGTGAAGAGGATCATGGGGCGCCCACGGCAGGAGGAGTGCAGCCCACAGGACAACGCCTTGGGCCTGATGCACCTCCGCCGGCTCTTCACTGAGCTGTGCCATCCTCCTCGGCACATGACTCAGAAGGAACAAGAGGAGAAGCTGTACATGATGCTGCCAGTGTTTAACAGGGTGAGTCCAGGCTGCCAAACACATGCCTTCCAGGACTGGGTGGCACCACCAGAATCTTAAGGTCATAACAAGTCACAGGTAGGAAAAACGATAGAATGAGTTAAGTCGTTAAGATGTTTTCATTTCTTCCTATTAGTTTGCTATAAATTAGTATGACTTGATGCGAGACCCGGTCAAAAGTGAACTCTACTTAGTTCTTACAGATAAAAGGAAAACTGAGCATTTTGTAAAAGGTTCCTCTAATGGTTGAGTTTGGGAGGAGGGATAGATTGTAAATTATCATTTTTATTTCCATTATTTTTGAAGTGACGGTTTTATTGCACCAAGTAGTGCAATTGCCCAAACGCTCTGTATACTTTTAAGGAATCATCTCAGTTTTCTTTCTTGTTTGGCAGGTTTTCTATCAGAGATTAAAAGAAAATAGTTACAGGCCCTAGAGAATCTAAATAGAGTTAGTGTTTTATTGTATTTTATCAAGTTGATACATGTAGCAATCCTAGTGGGGATTTTTAAAATAACTTTTAAGTTTTTATCGAAGGTGTACAAGTACATAGGTTAAAAAGCCAACTAGTTCACAGGCTAATAGGTGCCCCAATGCTCTCCACTGCTGATTGCTGCTGCCACTTTTAGCTCTCTCAGCCTTTAAATAACATACTTTTACTGCTGGTTTCTTGATTATGCAGTCTTAATTGACTTCCTACTGAGGATTATGAAAAATTACCTTTTTAAATTCCCCATTCTCCAAACTATAACAAGCATACATTTACTCACTAGTACATGCTGCCCTCATCCTTGTCCTTTTCATGTAGTATACATTTGTTTAAGCAGTATTTGTGTTTGTACTGGCTGATTGTGGTGTGAATAGTGTTCACAGATGGACTTTATAGTATACCACCATTATTCCCACTCTTGTAGAACTTGTTTTCCCCAGACTTCATACTATTACTGTCTCCATTTCTGTCTTTCCTGCATGTCTCTATTTCTCTCCCTTCTCATTTCTCTATCTCTCCTGCTTTCCTTTCTTTTTATCTCCCCTAGGTCTTCTTTTCCCTCTATCTTTCTATATTTCCCTCCCTTGCCCCAAACTAACTTTTTTAGATTAAGCTTATTTTATATTTTTAATTTCCCTGAATACTTTCTTTTATTCTTTTAAAATTGTGCAGTATCTTCTCTCATTTTTCTGAAAATATTAAAATTTTTTCAAAATTTTTTAAACTTCTTACATTGTTATTTTTCTCTAAATTGCTTTTTTCTTTGTATTGTCTTTCATATTAGAGTAGGCTTTAGCTGTGGTGTGATAGTTGTCTACACATTGGTACCTATTTATGTTAAAATAGAGGCCCAGTTCATGAATTCGTGCCCGGGTAGGGTCCAGCCTGCCTGCCCCAATGGGGGCCTATTGGGCCGGGTCAGTAGGGGTGGGGAGGTTGTAGGAGATTGGTCAGCTGGCCCTGCCCCTGATTGGAGTGGGGGAGGGCGATCACGGGGCGGGCTGGCCTGGGGGAGGAGCCATGTGAGGTTGGAGGGACCGAGTGGGGCCCCAGTTGGGCTGGTTGGCTGCCGCAGTGCATGTCATAGTGACTGGTCATTCCGTCATTCCAGTCACTTGGCTTTTGCATATATAGATGTATAAATAAACATTGTGCCATCCATTGTACTATGCACTGGAGTTTCTGAGATAAAACAGTCTAATCTTGGGAAGCTCAAGTATAATGAGGAAGCTAAGCATAAAATTCTGTGGGAGGAGAGATCAGCACAGAAACAGAGAACACAATAACAAAGAAAGGTGGAGTTAGAGATGCAGGAGAGTAACGTGGCACCCTGGAAAGAGAGTTATCTGAAAGTCTGATGGGGTCAGGGAAGGGACGTCTCCCTCAAGAATGTGATGTGATTCTTGAGTTTTAAAAGATAAGCATTAGTCAGATTAGAATTGACAGGAATAACTTAACCAAGAATGTAATTCAAGTAAGAAGTTAAAGGATGAGTAAAGGTAAAAGGCAACAAACATTCTAATATCTACCAGTGTCTATAAGCAGTCCAAGGAATTGAATTTTAAAAAAATGTATCATGGTTATTTTCTCTTCCCTTTGCCCCCCTCCACCCAGCCTCCAATCACCCTAGGCCTTCCCCACACTATTATCTGTGTCCACGGGTTATGCATATATGTGCTTTGGTTAATCTCTTCCCTTCCCTCCTGCCCCCCTCACCACTGAGATCTGTCAGTAGGTTCCAGGCTTCCATGCCTCTGGACCTATTTTGTTTGTCAGTTTATTTTATTCTTTAGATTCTATACATAAGTGAGATCATGTGATATTTGTCTTTCTCTGACTGGCTTATTTTGCTCAGCATAATACTCTCCAGGTCTGTCCATACTGACACAAAGGGTAGGAGATAGTTCTTTTTTATAGCTGCATAGTATTTCATTGTGTCTACTGATGGGCATTTGGCTTTTTCCAGTTGATTTTATGTCAAGGAAAGGTAAAAAAAGACTGTCAAGACTGATAGGCATATGGTGAGCTAATACTTTTATTAAGAACTAATACTTTTCCTGGAGGTGTGCAGAGCCATCAAAGTATTGTGAGCAATAGAATAAGAGAGTAGAAGGGGCCAAGGCAAGGCTTTCTCCCAGGTTTCTAATTTGGGAAACTGGATGAGTGTTTTCCCAATAGCTGAGAATGAAAGGTTTAGGGGATAGGTTCAGTTTGGAGCATGGAGTCTAAATGAATTGTGAGCTTCCCAGATAGTGATATTTATAGACAATTAAAAGGAATTTGGCTGGACACATATTTTTGGGAATCGTTAGCAAACCCTGGACGGGGACAGGAGATTACTCGTGATTCGTACTGCCAAGCGCAAGGAGCAGTAAAGGATGAACCATGGATAATATGAATGTTTAGTGAAAGAAGGGCTGCCCAAAGAGGATACAGAAGAGGTGCTGGTCAATGGCAGCACAAAAAGAATCAGGAGAGGGTAGTAATAGCACTTGAGATAAAAGTTGCTAGGAGGAGAGCAGACAACGATGTCAGGTACAATAGTGAGACTCAGTAATGAGGCCTGAAGAACATTCTTGAGATTTGCCCATTGGGAAGTTACTGAATGGTGAAACCAGAAAGCAGTGAGTGAGTGAATGGGAGATGAGAAGAGAGTAGGCATATAGTTGGCTTGTAGAAATTTGAAAGAAAAGAGAACAAAAGAGATTGGTGGAGGTGAATTTGACAGTAAAAAGGTGTTTGCTTGTATGTTTCTAGTGTTTCACCTTGTTTTTAAAGACAGGGAAGATCCAGTCATGCTTATAAAGAGAAGGGAAGGGAGAATGTGTGAATTTCCAAGAGAGAGAGAAAATGATTGCGGCAGGAGAGCCTGCAGTCAGATAGGTGGTTGAGCCTAAGTTGGAAAGCATGTGTGTGTTGTTGGGTGTGAATAAGTGGGAAGTTGAATAAGATCTTGTTTAATGACCTCAATTTCCTGTTGCTATCAACAGAATGTGTGGTCTGTTAAGAGTCTTAAAGAATAGGTTGACTAAGGGACTTGAGGAAATTGTGATGGTTTGGAATATTAAAGAAAGGGGATGAGAGAGACAGTGGGAAAGGAACATAAAAGAGTATGGAGGGCCCAGTGAAAGTTGGAGATAATAAGTTTGCACTGGATCTTATCCATGCTGGTGTGTGATTTTTCTCTTTCCAGGCATTCAGTAGCCTGTAGAAGTTAGAGAAGGCAGACAGGTACAGTATTTATTGGGGTTGAGGTTTTGCTGGGCTGGTAAGTAGAAGGAAGGAACATAGTAAGAGAGAGACTAGTTCACATGTCATCTATGGGATTAGGTAGGTAGGATAGGACTAGAGGATGGAAACACTAATATATTTCTCAGAGGATGTTCATTTTTTAATCTATGAAATAAGAGGTAAGAATGATGGATTGAGTAGATGGTGAGAAGGAACAAGAAGAGAGGTGAAGAAACATTTAAAACAGCTGTTTTGAAAATGGGAGAGAGAACTGATTGTGGACAAACCATTTTTTTTCAAGTCCTGTTGAGGTAAGTCATTAATTTTGGTTGGAACCAATTCTGGGAAGTTTGTTTAGTTTGGTTTAGTTTATGTACTGTTGGCTGCTGAATAGTTTAAGCTAATTTCCTTCTCTCAGACTTAAGAACATTTACAGAGGTGATAATTGAGAATAGTTAGGCCAGTTGTAGTTTTATCTATTAGCATAAATTGATAGGTAATATCCTACATATGTATCCAATGTATTCATTAGTTAGGTTTCTATAGTCAAGTCAAGTGAGTATTAGGAGAGAATAATTGTACAGGTATTTCTTCTTTTGAAGGGTAGATTTTAGATGCTTTGGTGATTATCCTCTGTTAGACTGTTTGACTTAGTTCTCTTGCATTCTCAATTGTCATAAGTCTCATTAACTTTAAATTCTTTCAAATAAAAAGTTTTTAACTGGCTGATTAAAGGCACATTTATATGCCTTGCCTTACATCTCTAATGTGATTTAAATACCATAAAGACTCACTTTTCTCTTAACTAATGAAAAGATAAGAAGTTATTTTAATTGTGACCAATTAAAAATATATATAGACTATTCATTGGATATTCATCATTAACCTAAATATGTCTTTAAATAAGCCATCACATCCACTACATTTTGCAATATATAGCCATATTTGTACAATGTTTGACCATTTAGACATTAATATTCTCTATTAGTAAGAAATAGCTTTGATAAATGAATGGTTCATTATGGCTATAGAGCCATGATTGCTAAAAAGGAATTGTACTATTCACTTTTGAGACTTTGCTTGATTTATGCCAATTTTAAAATAAACTACCTTACTGTTAAGACATGGGCATCTATCTCAGAATTATTTTAAAAGTGTTCTCAGTAGTGTTATTTCAGTGTGTGGTTTTTGCCTTTTTGAGACACAGGTTGAGAAATGACATGTGTTGAGTCCTTTTTCCGGGCCAGTTTCATGCTGGGTTCTTCATCTGCCTCCTAC